CGATCCGTACGTCGGAAGCTCTGTACATTGACGACGGAGCTTGAATGAGAGAGGAGGGTGGAGAGAAGAGAGAGAGAGAGAGACTAAAAGAGATAAAAAGAGAAAGAAACAGAAAAAGAGACCAAAAGAGAGAGAGAGGAACAGAAAAAAAAAAAAGAAGAGAGAGAGAGAGAGAGAGAGGAGAGGAGAGAGGAGAGAGAGAGAGAGGGAGAGAAAAGAAATAGACCAAAAGAGAGAGACAGAGGGAGAGAGAGAGAGAGAGAAAGAAACAGAGCGAGAGAGAGAGAAAGAAACAGAGCGAGAGAGAGAGAAAGAAACAAAGCGAGAGAGAGAGAAAGAGAGAGAGAGAGAGAGAGAGAGGAGAGAGAGAGAGAGAGAGAGATGCGCCGGCTCTCCGGACGACGGACCTCGCTCCTTCCCGCCGTCACCGCCTCCGCCGCCGCGCGAGGGAGAGGGGGATCTATCCCATGGGGTGAGTCTCAAGGAACATGCCCTTGAGGATGGTGAGGCTCTCAATATAGCGAGTCTCATTCTCCTGCATCTTTGCCTTCCACCTGCAATCAATAATCAATAATCAATCAATAAATTAATTAATGAATCAATAATCGACAGGAACCAAGGTTGATATACCGATACGTGATTATTATATCTCAAGAAAATCAAAAGAAAGTTTTGCGTGTAATTGGATAATCAATAAACCAATAATCAATAAATTAATTAACCAAATAATAGATCAATAATCAACAAGGACTAAGGTTGATGTAACGATACGTGATTATTATATCTAAAGAAAATTAAAATAAAGAAAGAAATCCCTTTCGCACAAAAGTTTGACTGTAACCTTTATACACACATTTATATATCTACCTATCAACTTATATTATGTTATTATCTTACACGCACACACATATCATAGTTAGGTAAATAAAAAATGAATGGATGACTAGGGGTACAATAGACAATAGGTGTAAACGTGGACGGATGAGCAAGACAAAGATACAGGGCGTAGCCTGCCAGGGGGGGGGGGGGGCAAGGGGCAGCTGCCCCCTAGATTTTGAGCAAAATAAAAAAAATAAATTGTTCTACTAAAGGGAATTTTCGTAATCAGAATGAAGGCTGTATATCTGTACTCAAAGTGCCTCAAATACCACCTTCTGCGATCTACATTTTCAAGATTTTCTGTGGCGAGGAACCCCAGACCCCCACCTGTTCTCATCCATTCCTTGAAATCCTGGCTACGCCACTGCCCCCCTCCCCCCTAGGAATTTGCTCAGCCTACGGCTCTGAGATAGATCTATGATCACTAGTGATTTGGCGATCGTACTTTTCTCCGTATGGTCTTGTCAGCGATGAGGTGGTTGATCACAGGACGTCAATAGGTGGCGCCGTCTCAGCATCCTGCAACAAAATCAAGCGCACGTCACACACTGCCGCCAGGCCACTGGCTATCTAATAATATATTAATAATAATATTATTATTATGTTAGTAGTAGTAGTATTAGCTATTATGTATTTATTATGTTGCTTTGTGGCCAGATGTGTTTGCTTCCCGCGCCGGCTGGTCGTAGCGCCCAATGGTAGCGCCCGCAATCTACACGTCAAGTACTTACAGGAGCTTTACTATACATCCAGCGCTGAGTGGAGCACAGATGGGGGTCATACTACTAATGGCAATCAATGAACAGCACGTCCAATTCATTGCCATTTGTCATCATGTGACGGAACACCAGGTTTCCGCGAGTAGCTCAAAGCCAGAAGACAGTCACGCTCGGGGCAGGAAGCGAGTGATTCGGAAGTACACAGTGTTTGCGGTCGCTGGCGTACGGGACCGTAAATACCAGATTTTCACGTCAATTAATTCTCAGGCGGTAGGGGCATCGTAAAGGACCGTGCCGGTTTGTTTTTATATTAACAAGGCTGGACAGCGTGAATCAAGTAATATGCAAAGAATCCGTCAAAAGTAAACGGGGAAAGTTATTTATTCGTCTTAATAGCTCAACATGGTTTCAGCATTTCAGCGTTGTACCAGCTCTCCTTGCTTTATACGCATCTTGATATAGTAATATAGACTAGTTAACAGTTAGCGTATACGACTCTTGACACATCACCACAATCTTGTGTATGTATCGTCGCGAATGCGGCGATAGATGGCCGCCACGTGGTACTCACGCTGCTGAATGACGAGCTGCTCTTGCGGAGTGCGGAAGCGGCGGACGGCACGCGCGTGCACGTTGTACGGCTCGCTGGGGTCCGCTAGCACGGGCAACGGGCGCGGCAGACGATACACGATACGTGCCCTCCTCCATTACCAACACGCTAGAGTTAGATGGAGAGAGGAGAGAGAGAGGAGTGGTGCCCCGCTAGAGGGCGTCGCGCAACCAATAACTTGCACAACAACAGAAAACACGCGAGACAGGCAAACGTAACAACTAACAGACACACAACGGACGACAGTCGAAGAACAAGCGTCTCTCACTGGCGGGAACAACAACAGGACAACAACCCACAACAAACAAAACGGACTGCACATCTCTCATCTCTCTTCACCGTTCGCCCGCCCCCGCAGCACTCCACCCCACCACCCCTACACCCTCACCATCACGATACATACATCAACATACCAAACAGCATACTTACTTCAAATACATCAACATAACAGAAACCCGCAACAACGACACGACCTCTCGCCTTCCTTCCTCCCTCACCCGCCAGACACACACAGCACACACTCACATCAACATAATCAACCCACACAACAACGACCGTTACACCTTCCCCTCTCTGACCGCTCCGCGGACAACAACCAGCAACACTACATCACTCATACCACACCACACACGACTCACGCTCTTCCCCTCCTCTCCTCACCGCGCGGACGCAACCATAGCTTCCGACGTACGGATCGCGCTCCCCTCGCCAGGAGGCGCCACCGCATCACCGCCGCCGCATCGTCGCTTCATCCGTGTTGTTCGTGTTGTTCGTGTTGTTCGTGTGTAAAACTGCGCAGCAGTCGACGTCACGATGTAAACGCTCGTTGCTTATCTGTGCTTCGCGTCTGCTTGTGTGTGTACAGTACGCTACGTCTCGTGCCCCAGGTCTATGTGAAAGCTTTATATGATATCGCTTCGTCTCACTCACGCAGAGTATAGAAAGACATGTTCACTCTCTCTATCTCTCTCTGTCTGTCTCTTTCACTCTCTCTCTCTTTTGCTCTCTTTCACTCTTTCTCTCTCTCTCTCTCTCTTTCTCTCTCTCTCTCTCTCACTCTCTCGCTGTCTGTCTATCTGTCTCTCTCTCTCTTTTGCTCTCTTTCACTCTTTCTCTCTCTTTCTCTCTCTTAAGCTGAGTATAGGAAGACATGTTAGAATATGTCCCGCGCGTCGGATGCCAGCGTAGCATGGTATACGTTCCCCCACCACAATGGAAAACTTACCCCCTCCCATCTACGCTGCACATGGGCATGGATATGTATGTTTAGCAGGGTGCATTGCGCACGGGGACTTTTGACCTTTGACCTTTATTGCTCACGCGCAACGTAGAAGGGGATGGGGTCATAGGGGGGGATATATATCATGGTCCTCGCCCACGCGCGGAGACCTAGAGGTCCAAAGGCGAACACGCGAAATGTTGTAAGATCGATGTAAATTGTAAAAGAGCGAGCCACGCTTCTCTTTGCTTTCGGCTAACGTTGTAAACAAGTGGTATAAATGTGTATATATATATATGTGTGTGTGTGTGTGTGCGTGCGTGCGCGTGAGTTGGATAGTATTAGGTAGCCGGGTATCTAGTTAGGTGTCGTTAGCGTCGTGGGAGGGGGAGGGGGGTCGTCTTGTTCCGAAAGGAAGGAACCCGAAGAGTTCTCTCCCCTTCTCTCCCAGATTTTTCGTCGAAAACGTTTGCGGTGGTAAATCGTCGTGTGTCACTGTGTACGTGCGTTCGTGCGTGCGTGCGTGCATTCGTGCGTGCGTGCGTATGTGCATGCATTCGTGCGTGCGTGCATTCGTGCGTGCGTGCGTATGTGCATGCATTCGTGCGTGCATTCGTGCGTGCGTAGTCGTGCGTGCGTGCGTATGTGCATGCATTCGTGCGTGCATTCGTGCGTGCGTGCGTGCGTGCGTGCGTGCGTTCGTGCGTGCGTGCGTAGTCGTGCGTGCGTGCTTTGTTAATGTAACGAGGTTTGCTCTACGAAGTGATCACGTATTAAACATATTTGCACGTGTGTTGTGCTCGTACAGAAAACAAAATGCGTTCGAACATGCTTCTCTCGTTTTTGAAGTTTGCTCGCGATTAGTTGTTTTTTTATTCTAAGGTTTATATTTAAGAGGGTTGTTTTGATATTGAAATGGTGTCAAAAATCATTTGATATGATTTCATCAAAGTATGTAATTTTGATAGTTGTATGTACGGGTGTGACATCACCGGCTTTATCGTGATGTGGTTTTATCGTGCCAAACAGGTTGGGTCGTTAGCATTAATTTGGGGATTATTTTTAATTGACGATTCACATCAAAGACTCGTATCAGAGTTTTGACATATCGAAACGATATCCAAAATCGCTCGTCATCGTTTGATCAAATCACGTAAATTCGATCGAAAGAGAGACGAAGCGAATTCATGCGAGAAATTCGAGAAAAATTAAAAACCGTCGGTTTTCGTGCCATCGGCATCGTATTTCACGTTTAATAAATAGACCTGTAGCATCTGGCGAGATGCGTACATGAATAGAATCGCGCACGCATTTGGACAACATTCAAGAACGCGCCGCAACGTAACGACAACTTTTTACGAACTTGTACAACATTCAACAACGGGTAACGACACCATCAACTTGACTTTCCATGTATTTATGGCAGATTTTTACTAGTTACATGCCCTTGCTAACACCAACTACTATTATCGGTATAGTGGGCCCTAGCCTTTGCCTAAAAAGAAATACTCTGCAAGGCAGCAGGTGGTTTGAAATCAGAGTTTTCCTTCTTCTAGACAATGTGCCCTTGCAGGCTATGGATTATTGTCAGTGCCCAACAGTTTGGTCCGCAACTGCTTATTTGGATATTCACATCTAACCTATATATCGATCTACAGTTCTCTAATCTATCAATCTATGTTCAGCTATCCGCCACCCGCCGACGTACCCCGTGGCAGATGTTAGCTGCAGGTAATCGGTTAAGATAACCCTTCCTGGAGAGAATTGAACTTTTTAACAAGGGAGTCCAACGGACTCGCAGCAAAGGGAGTCGCAGCAAAATGAGGGAGTACGCAATCTGAAGTTCAAAACTAAAGATATTAACAATAACGCATGTGCTTATTTTGAAGATTCATGCGGTTGCACGTCTGCCAAATTTTCTTTGGGCATTTGCTGAAAAAATACGGCAATTCCGTGAGGCCTTGCTCTGGAACGAACTAGTTAGTATATAACAGAATTTTACAGGACCATCTAGTTTGAAATTTAGATGGTCCTCCTAAATTTTAGATGGTCCTCCTAAATTTTAGATGGTCCTCCTAAATTTCAAATTGTTCTTTAAAAGTAATGCGGTGTGCAAGCATAAGAAAGAGATTTTACATGGTGATAAAATGGTTTAATTATTCACCTACGTAACAATGAATGTATCAAACGATACAGTAATTGTTATTCACTTTAATAGTATATTGGAACGTGGAAACTTCAAAGAAAATTACCGTAAAATGGAACCAAAACGTTCAATGGTCCGTCGGACCATTGACTTTGAAAATCTGATGGTCCTCCTGATTATTTGATGGCCCCGGACCATCGGACCATCGCTTATTTCGACCCCTGTATTGTGATTATATGATATATTATAGATAATATTATGATTACAGGGTGACGTCACCACTCACGTCCCCGACGAAGAGATGTGCCCCCGGCAGCCGATCGGCGAGGAAGAAGAGGAAGAAAGAGCAGACGCAACACGACAGCTACCATCGTGAGTACAGCCGCCATCGCCATGACGATTACTGCTAGTGGTGTGCGGTATTATCGGTATACCGGTATATCGCGGTACAAACTCAAAGTAATACGTATCGCGATACATTCTCCCCGTACCGATTCCCCCGCCCCCGCGGCGCGATGCCGGTGGGGGAGCAGGATACTGTTAGCAATTTCCACAGTTTAATGGTCGGAAATATGTGTAGTTTGAATGATACAGCCTGTGTTGTCCATGGATTCATTCTTTGTGAAATTGCACACATGCACGCAGGCACGCACGCACACGCGCGCGCATACATACACAATAAGATAGCCTGCTTGTTTGAATTGTTGTGTTGAGTGTTATTAAAGCTCAGTCTGACTGAACGTTTTACACTGTTTTTCTTGATAGCAGCAACAGGTAAAGATGAGTAATAATATATCGTGATACGTATCGCGATACAAATTTTTTTTCCGATACCCATCACTAATTACTGCGCTGTTAGTTGGCTAGTGCACCTGTTAATTAGTGTTACCTGTACTTCTCGCTGAAAAAGTTACTGAGAATTACCTGTTAATTGGTGTTACCTGATGTTCTCGTTTCTCGCAGACACGATGAAGTATATATATGCAGATATATCTTAGATTCATCTTAGTATTACTGAGAATAAGAGGCGGGGAAAATTCATCGATGTGTCGATGTATCGCGATACAAACTTTGGCACGTATCATCGATACTTTACTGAATAAAAATACATGTCGTTTAGTAGCGTAGTTTCATCAAAAAACAACAATAGAAACACAATTTACACCTCAAACAGATACCTACCTGTTTGTTAATTAGCATTACCTGTATTTATCATTTCTCGTCGTCTCTCTCCTGCATGCAGACACCTACCTCTTAATTACTATTACCTGTACATGTTATGAAGCTGTTTACGATTACCTGTACATCTCGTCGTCTCTCCCATGTGCAGACGCTTACTTGTTAATTAGTGATACCTGTATTTACCTGTAATTCTCGTTATCTCTCTCCCGCCTGCGCAGACACCTACGTCATGAAGCTCTTCGATCGCTCGGTCGACCTCGCTCAGTTTCCCGAGGACACGCCGCTCTACCCGATATGTCGCGCGTGGATGCGCAACCAGCCCGACAACAATCGCATGGTTGCCGCGGCAACGGCCGGGATTAAGAAGGAGGAGGAGGATGCGGCGGTGGGGGCGCCGGCTCAGCGGAGCCCCGAGAGAGAAGAGGCGGGAGACGTGAGTCATTGTTGTTGTGGGTTGATGTATGTTGATGTATGTTGTTGTATGTTGTTGTCTGTTGTTGTCCGCGTGAGAGGAGAGGGAAGGTGTGAGTTGTTGTTGTTGTTGTGGGTTGATGTATGTTGATGTGGGTTGATGTATGTTGTATGTTGTTGTCCGCGTGAGAGGAGAGGGAAAGCGTGAGTCGTTGTTGTTGTTGTGGGTTGATGTATGTTGTTGTATGTTGTTGTATGTTGTATGTTGTTGTCCGCGTGAGAGGAGAGGGAAAGCGTGAGTCGTTGTTGTTGTGGGTTGATGTATGATGTATGTTGTCTGTTGTTGTCCGCGTGAGAGGAGAGGGAAGGTGTAAGTCGTTGTTGTTGTGGGTTGATGTATGTTGATGTATGTTGTCTGTTGTTGTCTGCGTGAGAGGAGAGGGAAGGCGTAAGTCGTCGTTGTTGTGGGTTGATGTATGTTGATGTATGTTGATGTATGCTGTTGTATGTTGATGTATGTTGTATGTTGTATGTTGTTGTTGTCCGCGTGAGAGGAGATGAGAGATGTGAGTCGTTGTTGTTTGTTGTGGGTTGTTGTCTGTTGTTGTCCGAGTGAGAGACGTTGTTGTTATCTGTCGTCGTTGTGTGTTGTTGTTTTAGTTGCTGTCTCGTGTTTTCTGTTGTTGTGCAAGTTATTGTGTGTGCGCGACGCCCTGTAGCGGTGGCACCCACGCTCCCCCTCTCCCCCTCTCCCCCTCTCTCTCTATCTCTGTGTGTTGGTACAGGAGGAGGCAGCGTACGTGTATCGTCTGCCGGCGCCCGTGCCCGTGCTAGCGGACCCCAGCGAGCCGTACAACGTGCACCGCGTGCCGTCGCCGCTTCCGCACTCGCAAGAGGAGCTCGTCATCAGCAGCGTGAGTAGCACGGTGGCGCCATCTATCGGCCGCATTCGCGACGAATAATACAAAGATGTGGTGATGTGGTCAAGAGTGTATACCTAACTGTTAACATAGTCTATTATTATTATCAAGAGCGTATAAAGAAGGAGAGCGTACAACGGTGAAATGCTGAAACCATGTTGCAGTATTAGA